TGGGGCGCGTGACCCTTTTGCACCAAATCATTGCCCCTACAGCCACTTAACTCTACTCTTTTACGAGTTCATGACCGAATTTATGTAGTCACGTGCGTCTAGGAGCAATATACCTAAGTTAATAGTATTGTTAGGACCTCTCTCTGCTGACTCTAAAATCACAACACACGGTCGTGACTGTCACGACTGGCTGCACATCATCTTACAAATCACTAACTCTTTTGTATTCGAACTTTCGCTCTCTCAAAGAACTTCTTTACTTGTACTTTTTTTATTCCTGTGCAAAGAACTTCGCACTTTATGTTTGTCCCCGAATAATATTATCGAATTTACATCGTGAATTTTGAATTTTTATTACGGGCCCAGAAGATTCTTGGACGTTTTTGCTCGCCTTTTGCGATGTTTTCCAGCGAAAAAAGTGTAACAAAACATCGTAACCAAGACAAAGAATGTTTTGAAATCAGACCCAGTAAACAAGCGATGATTGGACAAAGACACTTGAGAAACAATATCGATTTCTCATTCTTATCAAGTACAAGCCCTATTCGAACGATTGTTGCAAGTATTTTCGCTCTCTGGGCTCTATTTAGACTTTGATTTTAGACTGAAATAAGCTCCTCATTCTTGACAAGGCTAATTTTTCCACTCGCAGTCTCCTCTCCTGAACTTTGGTATAAAAATATAAAAACTGCTCATTCAAGAAAAGCTGGAAAATTTAACTGAAGTGCCTTATTCTGTTCTTCCTCTGCTTAATATGCCTATTCCACATTTCAAACGGACCATGAGCTGGAATGTGGTCACGGAGCCACGATGGGCTAAACGGTTCAAAAGATGAGTCAGAAATTTTTTTATACCATAACGGGTTTTGAGCTGATTTTTACGATTTATTGCTAGTTTATCATTATTTTATGTCCCTTTAAACATGGTTAAGTCAGCTACAGCTCATAAATTGCTTTCTTCAAACTCTGTTATAAAAATAGGAGTAAAACTAGAAAGTTATTGTATAATAGACCTTAATCTAACTTATTACGTCATTCAAAATGTAGGTTTATACTTTATTACTAGTTCATAGCTTTAGAGTTGAAGTTTTGGGGATTTGTAGGTAGAATTGAAGTTTTGGAGTTTTTAGGTTGATAATTATTTGAATGAGAATTCTTCTCACATTTGACCATTATCAAGCGTCTGAATTAATTTGAAAAATTTTTTGTTATAGTCCCTTTAAGATTCTCCGAGCATATTTTCTCTTGGATTAACTTGGGCATTTCCCACAGACTTTTTCTTTCGGAGAATTTCTATGCTAATAATCAACTGACATGAGAATTTTCCTCACATTCAACTCTTTATCAAATAGGCGTCAATATGTTTTCTTAGGAAAAGAATGTACTTCAAGGGTGTGGACTAAATTTGTCCATGAAATTTATTTGCTTTGAGCGCCAGACAAAGAACCAATTTCAAGAAAAAGAAACTACAGATGGTCTTGATTCGGTGGACCTCAACTTCTACAGAACATTATGGGAACTGATTTTGTCTTAAAAAACACAGGGCAACACAGGATATATAGGGTATATAACACAGGATATATAAGGTAATCGCAGAATTTATGCAATCAAAGTCAATTTTTATCAAAAAATAAAGATTACTGCAGCCAATTTGCCTTAAAAAAGAGCACTTACTTTTGATTCTTACATGATTTTTTGCCATTAGGCTCAATATCTATCAAACAGTAGTCTTGTAACAGTTTAAGATCATCTATATATAATTTTTAATCGAATTTTTTCATTAAGGTCAAATTTATTCTGCTCATTGATAACTTGGCAAGTGTGCAAGAGTCTGAGCAATGATTCTCTCATTGAGACCAAACAACGAAAACGTTCTTCTGGAGTCGCGATTTGCGCTTGCCACCACGATAAAATTGTGAATCCATCAAACGCGCAGGCTCGAAAAAGAAGACGTACCGAAAAAGCGTACGGATGTCGAAATTTGAACTTCCGGTCGGAAGAAGAAGCAAAGGAAGCACGTGCTAAGCACGCTAATTCGTGGTTTTGGGGTATTTCCGGATGAATGAGTTGGGAATTTGGCTCCTTGCCAAATAATGGGAGTAGAAGAGGGAGGTGGTCCGTGCGAATCTCGCCCATCGCGGCGAAATCGCGGCGAAACGCGCGCGATGGTTGTCGGGTTTTTTTCCGCACCGGGGCCCCGGCGCATTAATGAGAACAGAACCGCTGCGTATTATACCGGAAGTGCTGGTGACGATTGATAGGCAAAGGTTGCAAATGCGATGATGATGATCATCGCTTGTAACAAGACGTCGGACGACGACATGTGACCTTGACGGGTCGGCGGGCGCGAATCCCCGTTCTTCAAAATCATGTACCCGTCGTCGTGTGACACTGATCCATCGTTGTCGCCTACGGACAGGTAGGAGCACACATACACACACAGCACAGCCAGTGTAGTGTCTGTCGAACCCCCTTCAGCCTCCCCCCCCCTGTCAAAACCAACTGCTTGTTGTTCTGCGCCTGCTGGGTTCCCTCCCCACTTTCAACCAACCACCTCCACCACCGCCACCGTCACCGCCACCGCCACCCCGACCTCGTCCATTCATCCCTCGCCTGTTCGTCGTGCGACCCGACACGAGCTGCGTGTTCGCTTTGTCGTTTTAGAAATTTAGGACCGTTTTGTTTACATTTCCGGGGTGTCCAGCATACACGCACACCTATGACGTCACCCCTATTCAGAAAGCCGAAGTAAGTCACGGTACATCTGACACAGTTTCGATTTTTCTGCTTTGGCTGTGCTACATCTTAGCTAATCTTATTTACACTCTACTACCTCAGCGCCAGTGACAGTTGTCCAAGCTGGTGGTGGAAGAATCATGCGAATATATTGATTTCGGACTTGTGTTGCGGAATCCAACATTTTGTTTTTTATTTCATTCATTGGGTAGTTTCCAGAACGTTCTATCTTATATCTCACCTCATTTCATAATTTCGGTTGATCAAAAACGACTAGGATGTCCCAGTTTTTGAGATTTTTTCCAAAATTTTTTATCCAAATCATCTAAACCCTCTTTTCCTTACTGAAGAGTCCCGGTGAGATTCTAGAAACAAAAATCGGTCTAAGAGAAGGGAAAAAACAAAATCAACTATTTCTCACTTTTTGTTGATTAAATTTTCTGCAAACAAATCTAGCTTACCCCATTTTCATAAGCTCCAGATTTTCTCGAAACATTGTGGCTTAGTTTTCAGATTTTTCCGTTTTCAAATTTCAGTTTTATCAACGAGACCCCCATAGAAAATTGCAGCTCCCTTTTTCTCAATCTTCCTCTTCGCTCTTCGCTTTCTCAATCCCACATGCAGCTCTCAATTACTCCAGTAAATGACTACTTTTACCCGTATCTCGGCGATGATTTACTGCTTCTTTACGAGAAATATGTGGTCTCTTTAAGGCTTTGATGAAATGGTTCACTTCTTCGTATATTTGTGTGTGTATGTGTGACTTGCGCCCGTCTAATGCAAACATCCGACTGGCGATACGTCCGCATTCATGCTTTGAAATCACATACGTCACAACACCTTTTTAGGAGAAATATTGAGAAATTGGGAGAGAACCCGGCGAGGAAAGCGGGTTCTCAGAGATTAGTGGAAAGCAGAGATTTGCAGAGAGCAACTAGCAGCCCTACGCTTTTGGCTAGCTTTATTATTTTATTATGCATTTATTAGGAGGCTTTTTACAAAAAATTTATACAAGAGATTTATGGATTCAAACTTATATTTTGAAAAGGAGAAGTAAAGTATTGAGTTCACTTTGCTTTTGAAAACTGGTCATTTTCAGCAATCCAGCTTTAGTGTCCCTTTCGAGATTTCAAATAATTTTTGCTGTTCAACCTTTTGCTTTTCAAAATGTTGGGGTAGTTTCCAAGACTTTGCTTTTTAAACTTCGTTAATTTTGTCGTTAATTAAATCTCATTATCAAACAAGGTGATTTTTTTTTACTTCATCGCAAATGGTTGCTGTCAATAGATAGTCCAAAAAATTATATTTCAGAATAGAGCTCTGAAAAGGCCTTAAAATGGAACTTTTCTTTTTTGCAAATTAGTAAATTGCTTTATTTGCCCGCAAATAGCTCCTATTTTAGATCTAACACCCCGCACTTCATTTACTCTATTTTTTAATAAATGATGATTGATGTCTGCTCACATTATCTATTTTTGAAATTGAGAATACAATCAATGAGCCTGAAACTATTCTCGCTTAATGATCCTTCCTATTGATTTAGTTTTGATTGCTTCCTATTTTGGATTTTAAGTCCCGAATACTCTCAATAAAGCCGAATTCGATATTTTTAAAAAAGATAATACCTCACTGATTATAGTTCCAAATATAGGCCATTCTAAAGTTCATTTCTAGGCAAAGATCCAAAACTCAAAAATTGTATCTCACAATATTAGAACTTCAACTGAAGGAATTTTATTTTGTCTGAGTCGCGTAGAGAATTTATAAAAACAAAATTTTTGAAACGGTCTCAATTTATTAGTTGCCGATTTCAAAAAATTTTCCTCATCTTTTTTTCGCAGTGATTAGATACAACTCTTGATTCACAAAAACAAGAAGTGTGAGGAAAATAAGTTTTTACTGGAAATTTTGCTGGCAAAATAGTTTTGGAAAATTTCTGAAAAGTTATTGCAAGAATATTGAAGAATCGCGAGCGTGAGAGGTCGAGCGCTTCAACAACTAAATTTTTATGCAAAATTAGTAATTTAGATCATTTCATTTTTTTCAATAAAAATTAGTTAAAGGCATAATAATTAAGTTAATTCATTTTAATAAGTAAAGAAGAGGCCTACAGGTCAGATATCGTGTCAAATGCATTTGCAAGACAAATTCATCATTCTCTAGAAAACTTCAATGCTTGCGAAAGCCAAAAGTCATCGTTTTGTGTGATAAACAAGCTGAGCGAAGTGATGAATAGGCTGTTCCTCAGAGTTTGTGAAGAGGAAGAGGGGAGGGCGGCCCCTTTAGCCCTCTTCCCGCCGGGCCGGGGCGGGCCTTCCGGAGTGCGTGTGTGTGTGTTCGTCGTGTGTGCCGCAGCTGCTAGCTATGCCTTCAGCGCCTAACCTCCTCTGAATCGCTCGGCTTCTGCTTATTCGCACTTCTTAACACCCATAATCCACTCAAGACCCTTCCTCGACAAATTCTGGCACCCTTAGACTCCGATCCGCCTATGCTTCGGCGAAAATACGGTCATGCTGGATTTAGGTAAAAACTCCTTTTGTACATACAAAAGAAATGGGGAAGCGGGGACAGTAGGGGCTATGACGTATACGGGGGAAGTGCTATACGGGGGGGGGGGGGGGTGACGCAGCAAAGATCGAGTGTGTGTTGAACGTTCGTGATGCAGACTTTGTTTAGACATGGCGATGACCTCATCGTAACCCCATTCGCTCAACTTCTAGCCAGCCTCCGTAATGTTCGCGCTAACCTCATATCTATCGCAAACATTCAGGTGAGTAGAGACACATATTTTTTTTTATTTTCATAGATTTGAATTGTTTTTGTGAAAAAAACCTCCTTCATACTGTTTTTGGCCTTTTTGAACGAAATAAACTACCCTTACCCACCTACAGTGTAGCTTTACCCACCTTTTCTACTCCTAACCAAATCTATTCTTGCTGGGTTGTTCAGGCTAAAGCTGGAAAACATTGTATCTTTATTTTTGAAGAATTAGTACTGGATTTTGAAATACTCCGTCCTTAGATCGTTTTTGGGTTTTTTACCCGAAATAAATTACCCCTACCCACTGTAGTATCACTTTACCCAGCCTCTTTTGACTCCCATGCAAATGTGAACTCGGTATCAATGCTTAGGCTAAAGCCAGAGAGATATTTTGTCCTAATTTTTGAACATTTTATACTGATTTTGAGATTAATTCGTCTTTAGAGCGTTTTTTGGCAATTTAACCCAAAATAAGTTACCCATACCCATTCCAAGTCCCACCTTACCCAGCTCATTTACCCCTACTAAATCCGAGCTCGCTAGAGCTGTCTAGGCTAAAGCCAAAGAGATGTTTTGTACTCAGTTCAAGACATTTTGTATTGATTTTTGTAGGATAGTACTCTTGGATTGTTTTTGGCTTTCCTACCCGGAATACATTACCCTTACCACCATAGTATCACTTTACCCAGCTCATTTACCCCAACTCCAATTCTGAACCCGCTAGTTGTTATCTGAGCTCCAGGCGGAAGCCGTTCGCTCGTTTATGGCCTCAGCTTGGCTTTGTTTTTCGCAACCCTACTAGACATCAATACCCCCTTTCTTCCCAAAAATAAAGAATGAAGCCAAAAAAGAATTTTTGATTTTTTTAAAGGTGTCGGACGACGGTCGTCACGCCAACCGAACCACTAGACGTCCACCGCTTCATAATACACCGTTACCAGAGAACGTCGTCACATGTGCTCAGGAGACTTTGGGTAGGAGAGACTAATCATTTTTTGTCCTTATTTTTTTTATATATTTCTATGTTTTCGTTCTCACGCACATGTTTTGCGCATTTCAGAGGAATTGGACTGGTGTTTGGACCAGCTGGAAACCATTCAAACCCATCGTTCCGTTTCCGAAATGGCTTCCAGCAAGGTTAGCGCCGCTATTGTTCCCGTTCTCGTTGCATCAAATTACGTCATTGAGTTTCCATTCGTTTCCCCCCTGGGGATTAGAGTGAAATGGAGCAAAATGGAGCTTTGAAGCTAGGCATATTGAGCACTAGAGAAAATCTCTGGCTTTATGGCCAAGAAGTCGTTAAAGAGCGTTCGCGAGAGAAAGGCCATGCAGCGCGCTTTGCGTCGACGAAATTGTCTCTATTATCATAAATTCGGCTTTCGTTACACTCTCGGGCAGTAAAATACGTTTTTCATGTGACTAAATGTTCTCATAAGAATTTTATATGAACAACGAGGAGTGTTGATAAATTCAGCTTAAAAAACTGGCTTTTTCCAAACTTTCACACAACTTGTTCTTTTTCTTTGAGGACCGAGAAATGCATGTATAATAGTTGAAGCAGGTTCATAGTTTGAAGAAAATGTGTATTTCTTACATACGTCATGATATTTTCAAGGGAATATGAATTTTGCCAACTGTGTAAAATCACGGAACGGTGATCTCAACAAAAGACGGGAACGATTTCGAAGCCTAGGCTTCATCCCACGAATTTTTCATCTTTTTAAGCAATTCCAAGATCTTATGCGAATTTTGATGAACTATTTTTCAAGTTTAAAAATTTTCTATACGCGCATGGTCATCGGGAGATGTAAGAAAAAGTACATTCAGTTTCTTATTTGTATAAAATACTGCCACCAATTCTTACTATTTCGTATCCTTTACTGTAGAAATCTGTTTTTCAAAAAAATTTCAAGAAGATATCGATAAGATGATAACAGTAAGCAAACTGCTCCATTACCTCAATATTAAAAAAAATTTGAGTTGGGAGTGAGATTAACCCTGTTCACTACCCCTAATGGTGCAATTCTTTTTGCATAATCGAGATATAAGCGATCAATAAATAAATAAATTTAATAAATTTTCAAATAATGCATCTGTTATTGGAATTATTTTAACGCCTCCTTTTTATCTCGAAAATTCTCTAATAATTTAGGTTAGTGCAAGTATGTGCAAAAAAGGGGTAATTTTAATTTTTGAAGGGAGATTTTAATTTTTTTTCAAACGGAACATTTTGATGGTGCAATTACTGCTTGTTATCAGTAATAGGAGTTGACGTATAGTGACCGTAATCAGGGTTAAGAAAAAAAAATGCCCGGAAGTGGTGAAATCTTGTCATCGCCGAGTTAGCATCACCTAAACGTCATGTCACGACTTTGTCACGAGCATCATCGCTGCAAAAGACATGTCAACACATCCGCGCATGTGGGTACCAGGGTCTTCTTCCTGTCGTGCAGCAGCAGCAGCGTAGCGCCGACGTCGCGGCCGACGGCGACGACAGCGGCTGCGGCGGCGGCGGCGGCGCAGATGGCGCCAGCGCAGTTACGGTAGATCACCTTTAAGAGACACACACGCACACACACATGTGATTGCAACTTCCGGTGCGAAATGATGGATTGCGGCGATGATTCGCGCTGGCGACACATTGATCGCTGGCGACAAGCGTCGTCGTCGTGTACCAGCAGCCCAAGCGATTCAAAATCGCTCTCTTTCCACGATTATCTCTCATTTGTGTAGTGGTGAACGCTGATTCTGGTCACTTGTTTTGTTTGGGAGAAATCCCATTCATTTACAGTAAACCCGGACGATTACTGTATGTCCGCCAAGGTTCAGCTCACCCTTCGCTTCCCTAAGTAACTGTTTTGAAAAGTAACTTTTGCGTTCAAGTTTTGCCTTGCACACCCTCGATTATTACCTTTGAAACGGTGTTTTCCCGTAGGGGTTGTATCTCGCTCTTTTATATGTTTTGAAACAGATTTTGACAGAAAAAATTCTTGCGATAAAATTTCCTTGAAATTTCTGCATCAACAAATTCAACGTAGCCGGTAGCCACGGTAGTGTACTTGCTTCTTTACAAATCCTGAGCGACATCACGAATTCGAGAATATCAGTCCGGAAGCCTGCTCTCTCTTAAGTAGTTGTTCTGAAACGGAAATCTTTGCAAAAAAGGAAAATTTTTAAGAAAACATCTCCGATAGCGAAGCCAGCACTTTCGGTGTTCATTCGTTCTCTACTATCATCGAACCTGCTCAAAACTATCTTATATACTCAACTTGAAATGGAAATTTTTTGCAAGAAGAGATTTTCTGCAACTTTTTTTTGCAAAATTTCTGCAGCGATGGAAGTCGGTACAAACACTATCTAATTTACTATCCATTCTTACCTTCTTCTAAACTAGTGAGCTTTTTGTGGGGAAACTGCTAATTTTGCAAAGAATTTTTTCTCCATAAAGCGAAAGTATTCTGCAACAAAAGATCCAAGATTTTCTGCAAATTTTTCACTTGCAGTGAGAAGAGGTGGAATCTCTCTAATTACCTGCATTATTCTCCTTCCTGATTCATTGAATTTTTTCTGCGAACTTCTTTCTAGTTTGAAAACTTACCTTTGATTTTTTGACTTTTGTAGGAGGTCTGTTGCAATAGCTCGCAAAGAAATATCTCAAAACAATTTTTTGTGAAGATTTTTCACCCAATGCGAAAAGCAAACGCAATTGATATTTGATTTGTTCTACTTCCTTGTCTTTCTTCCAAATCATTGACTTGTCTCTACAAAGTGCTTACTACTAATTGTGTAAATTGATCTTTGATTTCTTAGCGGAAATGAGTTTTCCAAAACAGTTTTTTTGCAAAGAATATTCATCTATAGCGAAAAGCAGTATAATTTAGTAAAACAGTGATTTATTCTCTTCCTTGTCTTTTTTCCAAAACCATTAACTTTTTTCTGCAAAGCGAAAAGTGCCGGGTTTCCAAGTCCTAAGATTTACGCCCCCACTAATTACTGTAATTAGGTTAGGCTCCAGGGGTGGCGACTGTGGAATTAAAAAAACAAAATTGCTCTGTGACGTCACTAATTACTTGATTTCAGTTCCGGAAGATGCTCAACAAAGAGCTTAGCCATTTCGCTGAATCATCCAAGTCTGGAACACAAGTGTCGAAATTCCTCATAACGACTTATATGGACAAGGATGACGACGATCCTACGATAGAAATTGAAGTACCCGGAGAGGTAAGAGCCGGCGATTTCCTTATATTATGAATCATAATCTCACCCGTTCTTTCTGCAATTTTTTGCACCCGTTGAGTAATCAAAAGACGTCAGCGCAAGATGAATTTACGGGTTTTTCTACTAGTGTAGTGTTGTTGATAAGGCCAGTGGTGTGAACAGCCGTTATCTGGCCCAGTTTACTTGCACACAATGTCGCGATTCTTGGACATTTCCTACTCCTACGCTGCTTTTGGGAAATTTAGAAAATTTCTAGTTCTAGTCTATGCTTTCTTTCGGCAGATTTTCTTGCAATACCTTTCGAAATCCTTGGTAAGACCAATTTTGAGTTTTTCAAGTTTAGTTTGGTGTTTCTGTCTAATCAAAATGTGTCGAAAGTGTCTCAATTGAAGTTAGAGTTCTAGTAAATTTTTTTCGAGGACAGAACCTCCTTTGGTCAAGGGGGGGGGGGTCTTTTTCTTACCGTAAACGCGCTGTTAAGTCACATCGAATTCATGGGGCGCCTTCAGCCGAATCGTTAACGAGATTTTCGTGCAAAAGCACTTAGCAAGTGGTGCTAATTCATGCGCGAACGCATTTGATTGCGCTCTTACTCAAAAAAATGGTCTAAAGAAGAGGATAGGGGGTTTGATTGAAGTTTGACCTCTGCTTATCCGAATTTTCTAGGGACCATCGACATCGTCACCGCCACTGTCGATGGGACTTCTGAAGAAAGCGCAAACGGCAGCGATGAATCGTATCTCTGGAGTTCGTAAACTTCGCGCTCCATCTCATGAAGGTCATTTACCCGAATACGGTGTCGCATGTGCCAAAGAAGTAGCCGTTTATATGCAACAGGTATGTTTAAGATGTTTATTTTTACTTGTTTGAGGTTTCTGCACTCCAGACGTCTTGAGAAAAAAGAACTTCTTGCTTTCCAGTGCTTAGCGTTTATTTTCCAAGAAAATTTCCGCAGCCAAAATTTCTCGAAGTTTTCATACTTTCTTGCTTTTATTTTGTCATGGGCATCTGTTTCTCAATGCAAAAGTAACTGCAAAGATTTGTTTTTGATCATGGATATAAGTTGGTATCCTGCTAAACTGCATATGTGCAAATTTCTGGATGATGTTGGTTTTTTTCGCACTTTTTTCACTTTTTTGAGAGCGATTTTTTGGTATTTGTCTCTTCATCGTACCAATTTTGGTATCAGCTCTTCAATCTATTGTCAACTTTGCCATGAAAAAATCATTTTTTGCCCTCAGTTCCTTTTTTATCTCAATGAAAATTCGCTCGTATCAAATAACATGAGAATAAAAACAAGATATTCTTATCTCTTACTTTTTTCTGCGCCGTTATTTTCCGGGTTTGTTACCTCATAATTTTTTTTCAAGAAAGTTTGTGGATACGGAAGCAATTTTTTTACCTGAGACATTCCCGATTGAAATTTTTATGAACAAAGTTTTTGCCGACCACCGAGAAGACACGAAATTTGAATAATTAATGAATTTACGCAAATTCTCCTTTTGGAAATTCTGCAAGAACTTGGCAGTGACATTTTGATTTTGATGCACTAATATTTAAAATTAAAGCATTCATGTATAAAGGACAAGATGATGTTAATTCTTCTACTCTAAAATGTAGTAATTTTGTAATAAAAATCATTTTCGGAATCATAAAAGATCGAAAAACAATAAGGCTAATCAATAATAGCTTTGACAGCAGTTTTTGAAGAGTGGTTATAATTTTTCGAGAATTTTGACGGTTTTTTCGAATATAATAGATTTTTGCTTTTGAGGAGTCAGTGTTTTTTTATTGAATTATTTTTCAAAATTCAGTTGAAGAATTCGTTTTGGATTTGTAGAGTTATGCTCTCATCGATTCACTCACGCTCCAGCATTTCTCTAAAAATTTCCCGTTTCACTGTCTTTATTTTTGCACGCTTTTTGTGAAAGTCCTCAGTTCTTCATTAGGTTTACTGATGCAGATTGCAGACGAATTGTTGCTTCTGCACGAGTTTGAATTGCAAAATCATGTTAATAATTTTTTTCTGTATTTGCGGACTAAATTATGCTCTTCATAGTCCGTCGGTCAATGTTCAGCATGTCCAAAGAGCTGCATACTAATTTGACACACACCGACACAAGAGTGAAAGAAAGCCAGTCGAGCCTGAGGCGCAGCCAGTCGGCCTCAACAGCATCAGGCGTATTGATTCGCGGGTTCGCAAATTACGGGTAGAGCTGGCTCGAAACGTTTTCTTTGAGTTCCACACACACAAGCCAGGGGCCGAACGAAGCGGGGGGGGGGGCTAAACAAAGCATTTAAACAGTGCATTCATTGTCCATGTACATACATACACTTACACGCACTTCAGACGAATAGCACACAGCGTCTAATTACAGCTAAACGACTGGGGACCCGATGTGTTCAAAATCGACGAGCTCTCGAAAAATCATGCACTTACTGCCATTACCTATGCGCTGTTCAGGGAAAGGGGACTGATTAAGGTAAGTGCCTTTGCAATTCCGTTTGCTATGAAAGTAGAGGGGAACTCGGCATGATTGAACATTCGGAGACACGCACTTTGTTTTTTGGGGGAAGAAAGCGTAGGGGACGTTCTGTTGGGCCCTGAGCGGAATTCGAAAACATGCATGCTCGAATACGCAAAGTATTGCCAAGCCTAATTTCTGACACTGCAATGGATTTATCGCCACCAAGATTCTGGAATATGCTTATGTCGAATGTGAAACAGCAAAATTTTTGAAAGTCGAAGAGACTTTGGTTGAACATAAAAGCATGGAGGATTATTCACTGGGTCCTAAGCGGAATTCGAATGTGGTTCTTTTTCCCCCATGCACAATTTCGCATCACAAGTGAACTTATCACCCCTCTTTTGTTGAACTATTTTTATGTCGAAGATGAAAGTGTAAATTTCCGGAGGTTTCGGTAGCAGCTTATAACCACGGAATTCCAGTTTGTGCCATTCCAAAATTTTCTGAGTGGTTTTATTGGGTCTTGAGCGGAATTAAAAAATGAGCATCTACTAACACGAAAGTGCGTCTGTGTTCCCTGCAAAGCATAGATTCCACCAATAAGACGCAGGAAATATCACCGTGACCGCTTGAACTTCGCTTTATATTGAAGGTGAAACAGCAAAATTCTCGAAAAGATGGTGGCAGCTTATAAGGCGAAAATGTAGCTTGTGCGGGGGTCTGGATTACAAATATGGTTTTTTGAGCAACAAAAGTTCTTTTTTTCTGAAACAAAAAAAAAATAAAAATCAAGTCATAGCTTTCTAGAAAAATTAAAAAACCCTATTTATAGGCATTTGAAATCCCGTCGTCCGTATTCGTTACATACTTACTAAATCTTGAACATCATTATCGAACCAATCCCTATCATAATCACATCCATGCCGCCGATGTTGCTCAGTCAATGCATGTTTTGCTCACTTCCCCAGTGCTCACCGTGAGTTTTTCTCATTTCGTAAATTTTTTGACATTTTTTTTCTTGAAAATATATTTTTTCCAGGAAGTTTTTTCCGATCTCGAGGTTATGGCGGCAATTTTCGCTGGTGCAATCCATGACGTCGATCATCCGGGTTTTACCAATCAGTACCTTATCAACTCCAGTAAGTGTATATTGAAACATGAAATTTTTCGTTAAAAAAATTCTCTTAATCCTCTGGAAATCGGTTTTTCACATTTTTTTCAAAGTATCCTTTTGATGTAAACATGCATATAATTTGAGCATTTGAACAAAAGACGAAATGTAAAATGCAGAAAATTTTCAAAAAAAAAGAGATTCTGAACACCTGTATGGAAAAGCTTGATTCTTGAAAGTTTTTTCACTCATTATTCTCTGTCTTGGACAAATTTTTTTGATGTAAGCTTGCATGTAAACGTTTTTTGGAAAGTCTTTCTTCGAAGGAAATTTTCTATTATGTTAAAGTGTGCTTGAAAAGTTAAAAATTTCCATTATAAATGGAGAATTTCATAAATTTTTATGGAAGTGCTTCAGCGAAATCATTGATATCTCGCAATATAGAGAATGAGATATAATTTTTCCCAACAAACTCAATGCTTTCCATTATTTGCCCCAACTGTAAGATTTTATAGATTTTAAAAGTTAAAAGGATAGTGAAGATAATGCCTCTGGGTTTTCAAATATTATTATTGAGTATTTTTGCTGGATTCTACGATAAAATCAGTCAGAATTTCGTCCAGTCCTAGTTCGCTTTGTAGTTGAGAAACTTATATCTGTGTCATAATCTTTATAATTCACCAAAAACATATGACTCAGGAAATTTCACAATTACCCTAACCATAACGAGTCAATGACATCATAAAAAATTTGTGCGCTCAAGAAATGACCTAAAAGAAATTTATTACCTACCTTCGTCAGCAGATCTTTTTTTCTAATCGTCACTTACGCAAGAGACTGAATCATTGGTAATTCAAGCACTTCTTCTAACCAAATCCGCTCATTAAATGGCGACAATTACGCGAACAAATTTCAGATAACGAGCTGGCCATTATGTATAATGACGAAAGTGTGTTGGAACAACACCATCTAGCTGTCGCTTTTAAACTTCTCCAAGACTCGAACTGCGATTTCCTATGCAGCCTGTCGAAAAAACAACGACTGCAATTTCGAAAAATCGTTATTGATATGGTGAGTCTGTTTATTTTATTATTTTCATACCTCTTATCGTTGAAAAAAATCTACCTGTATCTCCATGTCTCAATGTTTTTTCTCGTATTTTTTCTAGCTACATTTTTCTACATCTCATGATTGAATCCGCTTTATTGCCGACAATCTTCTCTATTTGTGTTTTATCCTCACAAATTGGTCTCTTTTTACCAGTTGTGTTTTTTTCTCTCATTTTTCCCACAATTTGGAAAATCATAGGAAATTTTTTGCGCTCATTCACAGACATACCTGTATTCTGAACATTTTGTACATTGAGAGGGACGTAGAAAAATTGGGAAAATCAAAGCAATTTTTCAAGTCCCTAGAGACGAGCGAACGCGAGGGGGGGGTGCTACAAATTTTTTTTCAATGATGCATAGCGTTAGCCATGCTCTATGAAAATTTTTTGGGATGCTTTGCAAGGCCCATAACCTCAAAAATTCAGATAAGGGGCACGGGGAAGCCACACTTCCGGAAAAAATTTTCACAAGGCTAAGAATTTGCCAACACAAGCTGTATTTTTGAAAATTAGCGTACTCTAAAAAGGGTCATAAAGGCCAAATATCAAAGGGTATTTTGAGTTCCAATTTTGAATGAGCGATGAGTTGAGAGTAACGAGATTGAACAAAGCTTCATAGTAAACTGATTTGTAACTTTTGGTGAGATTGCACATCACGCATCACTGCTCACGACTTTCCACCGAAAAGGTTCCAAACCGCATCGAAACAACGAGTCATTCAAGAAAGATTATTGGGACATTTCGAATTTAATCGCTTCAAAAGAGGAAATATTCAATTGAATGAAATCTGATATGTAAGGAATCTCAAGCTCAATTCAAAAATCTTCAAATAGCGGGAAACCGCGGCGAGTCCCGAAGCGAACGCTCAAATCTAGCACCTTTAGATTACTGGTTCACTAGTCTGACTTGTAAGCAAAGAATTCGAAAACGCTGCGCATATTGTGCAATACACTAGTGGCGGTCCCAGAATTTCCGATCGGAGGAGGGGGGTGCGACAAAAATATTTTTCCGAATGATGCGTGGCGTTAGCCATGCTCCACAAAAATTTCTTGGGATGCTTTTCAGGGTTCTCCCGGGTCCACAACCAGAAAATTCAGATAAGGGGGCGTGGGAGTTGACACACTACTGAAAAAATTTCACAACGCTAATTTAATTTTCTACAAATTTTGAAATTATTTCACTTACTTTTAGTACAAACAATTCACTCGCACATTTTAACGGCCCATATAGGTGACCTTCAAAAATCACTTATCGAACTTTGCTTATGGTAATGATTAAGGTGACAATTTATCATATTTTGTTTTTATCACGATACTTGAGAGCTCCACTCGATTCCAGTTTTTGAATCATTTCAATTTTTTGATTTCTTTCTACTTATAGTTTTTACCTGAACTACATAATACTTGCGTTCATTCTCCCACCTCTAAACTGCAAGTATTGTAAAATATTGCTATCTCGGAGCACATGCCTGCTTCTTTTTCCCCCTATCTATCATATAAATTTTTGCAAAAGCCGTTCGAGAAGAAACCCGGCGAAGCAATCACACTTCCGGAACCATCACCAATGCCGCAGCCGTACGCTTTACTGCATCGTTGGCTTGGTTCTTACACAGCCGCCGATGCCGAACGAGCACATCTGCAAAAGTGCCGGGGCGTGCAGCTTTAGCTGAGAAATTTGGGGCTTTTCCGGCGCGGACGCACGCGTTTTGCAGCGGAAACGCGCGCGCAGCGTTACGCGAGTTACACGCACGTTCACTGCGCGCGGAACTCGTTACCGCAAACTGGTCGCAGTTGCAGACCGCGCCGGAAACGATCCATCACTGTCGCCTCGGCGCGCGCGCGACTCGCTCTTTGTGATGAGATTTACTGATACCGTGTGTCTGTGTTTGATCATACTGAGGCCAAAAGGTGGTCCCCTCTGACCTTCATGTCTGAACAACTGACGTCATCGCCGTTGATTTCTGCTTGTCATTGACTATCCGTATATTAACATGACATTTTGATGAGATCAATCGGCACACACTCATTTCCGGTCTCCCGCTAATCGCGTGTTCGTCTGCAAATGCGTACTGGCGCCTCTTGACGCGCATCACGCACGACACCGGAAATGAGCCATGTATGGTTACGTTGTTGACAATTTGGAGACAACCAATCTTTGCAGATTAATTTATATTGCAATTTGGGACACCGGATCATGTCTTGTTTTTTTGCTTGTCTCTGAATTTGGCGCGTAAATTTGAGCAATATCGAGTGGGACAGATGGCAGGATCAAGGGCTTTTCAAGCGATTCAGGAATTAAAAAAAGGAAAACATGACAGAGGAAACCTTCCTCTGTTTTCTAAGGTTTTTGACTTCTTTCTGCAGTGACGATCAACATAGAAGCAGAAAACAGAACTTTAATTCCTAGTCTAGAAACCATGGTTCAAAGTTTAGTTCTTGCTTGTCCTTTTGTCGTAACGACGCTAATTTATTGTATATTCGCTAAGCCAAGTTTTTTAAAATGCGAAATGCTAGACCTAAAAGTTCAATTTGATTCATGATGGAGAAGGGCAGGACAAGTTCAAAGTCCTATGTATGCTTGAAAACATCAAAGATGAGAGGTTTTGCATGAAAGTTAAGTTTGCAGAAGATAGGAGATTTTTTAGCTGTGAAATCAAGTTCAGGATGTCATGCTTTGTAGATTATACCACAGAAACTCTCGATTTCTTGATAGGTTCAATGGGTGAATTCAAGTCTCACATTTTTGGAGCCCTACGATTGAAACTCTCTCTCAGAGACCCGCCATACTGGCTTTTTTAGGCTTTTTCGGGCTTTTCTGGACGCTTTTGGGTGCTTTCGGGCTTTTTCGACAAAGTATGACGTGTCCCTTCTGTGAGCGTTTCTTAAATGCATAATTCTCTTCTTATTCTCAGCATGCAGCTCCCTATCTTGCTTACCTTTTGGGAACTTCAATTCGTTTTTTCCGCTAATAAATTACCTAAACAGTAATCCAGATATGCTGCATACTCAAATTAGCACAAACTAGAGAGAGAAATTTTTGATATAAGAATCCTGAAGCTACAAATTGTGTTTTGAATTCATCAGTTTTGTAACTCATGCTCTTATCTATCTTGCAGTATTTTCCTCAGAGCCTAAGCCCCCTCTTTTATCCAGAACTCCATATAATGCTTTTCTCATACGCTTTCCTTCACTGTACGGTCATCTCAGTGCTTCATCATTTTTAAATATTTTCTTCACTTTAACGATCTTATGTAAGTGCATTTATTTCAGGTGCTAGCTACAGATATGTCCAAGCATATGTCCCTTTTGGCCGATCTGAAAACTATGGTTGAGGCAAAGAAAGTTGCTGGAAACAACGTAATCGTCTTAGATAAATACAACGATAAGATACAGGTACAGTAAGCTTAACCATAACCATTGTTCTTAGCTTTATGTTAGCTTACCCTTTTAGGTCTTACAATCCATGATTCACCTGGCTGATCTATCAAATCCAACTAAACCCATCGAACTGTATCGGCAATGGAATTCACGAATCTTAGAAGAATATTGGAGGCAAGGAGATCGGGAGAAAGAGCTTGGCATCGAAGTGTCGCCAATGTGCGATAGAGGAAATGTTACCATAGAAAAATCACAGGTTTGTTTTCAAAACGATTTTATTACTGAAATCTTCTAGAAAATACTAGGTAATCCCATGGTTCTTTGAAAAAATAAAAAACTAGTAAACAGATAGTAGCCTAATTACGGTAGGTACATAAAAGTTCAAAATTGCTGGCACTTTCACAGAGAATTGTTTGGAGTGCCATCCATGAATACCGTATCCTTTCGTGATGATGGCGCCATTTTGGACTGGTTACGGTAGGACCACGCATCGTACATTTGCATAACGGCAAAAAAGTCACAGTATTTACCGTAAGAAGCAAGTGATATTAGTGATCGGTATGTCAAGTAAGACGCCTTTATAAGTTTCAGCAAAGGTGTGTAGTGATATTTTTAAGCTTTCTTATTAAAATCAGCCGATCAAGATTTAGCAAATTTTGGGTTTTGAGCTCTTACCGTAGAGTTACCGTAACCCACAAAATTTGGCAGTTTATATGGAATGAGTCCTTTACATAATTGTGTAGGATGTGTATCTCTTCACGACGTTTTGCGAAATCTGGACTTCTGAAAGGTGTCTATAGCTGAATTTCACGAATTTCACGCGCAGGGGGCATGTCGTGTGCCGTTGCACTCTTTACGAGTTACCATACGACTTGTGTATTTTCCGAAATCTTAATGTTTAGGTTGGCTTCATCGACTATATTGTGCATCCACTGTATGAGACGTGGGCGGATCTTGTGTATCCGGATGCGCAGAATATTCTCGATCAATTGGAAGAGAATCGAGAATGGTATCAATCACGAATCCCCGAAGAGCCGGAATCGGCACGGGGCGAAGAAGAGAACTCGTAGTCACTGATTTGATTTTTTGTATTACTTGCCTGCTATCTGTCGGGTCATTTTATTCACACATACACACACGCGCTTAGCTCTGTTCATTTTCATCTCTCTTTCACTCGCATATTAGTTTTCGTTCATTGCCGGGTGTTTCTTGCAACCTGCGGTCTCTGCGTCCCCCCTCTAATTTTTTTATATTCTTTCATCTTAGGAGCATCACGCCTCTTTTCCCTGTTAGATCCTCACGTAGGTGCTTGTCCTCTCTCACTTCATCGCGCTCCCCGCCCGCCACCGCTGGGCTACGGACCCACTCTTCTCTAGTCGTACCCCTATCTCTCCCTTTCTTTTTGACGTCCTACCGCGCTTTACTCGGCCAGTCCTGCCAAGTTCTCGTGTTTGCAGCCGCTGAGTTGCCATTTGTGTTCTCATGTTTTAGCGTTAATTCATATTCATTCATTCTCTCTGACAGCCTATATTGTGATAACTATGTTCATCTACTTGTTTGCGCCCACTTTCCCCCATTTGCGAGTGGGAAAGATGTTTGATTTGCATAAGAAAAGCTTTAATTCAACGTACCAATGCCATGCACTTAATAAATTTCTATCAAATAAAGTTCTATGTGAAGTGTTTTTGTGTTTCACCGTCATCTTTTCGCAAATTATAAAAAATGGAGTCCATGATACAGTGTTATAGCTTCTAAATGTGAAATAGACCGATTCGCACTAACATGATGTCGTGTGCAAAACGGCCATCTCCGTTTGAATGCTTCTTACAGGTCCGAAATGTTTTTTTTCACCGGTTGGGGTAGTGAAAAGCCAACTCCAGCCTAAATATTGCAGTAAGATAGCGAGTTCCTATCTCGTTGTTGTTGGAGTAGGATAATGGAGGTAATTTTATCAAGTTTGGTGCCATTTGAATCACTTATCATTTTACTGTATTTGAGAGAAAAGATATTCAAGAAAAAAATAACCTCTTCTACAGTATTCAATGTTTGCATTTTTCGGTCATAGAATTCGTCTCATTGAGTTTGTAATACGCATAATATGCTGAATCAATGTTATGATTCACTTCGAAGACAAATTTCTGCCGATTTTTATTTTGAAATATTCTGATATATAGAAATCATTTTGAGAAATCCAACTGTGGTAGAAATCACGTAGACTGAAACTGGTTTGGTTTTTTGTATGTAAGTCAATCTACTATGGCGTGTTGGCAATTTACAACCTTCATCATAATCTTACCGTAGCTGCTGAAAATTGGAAACTTATGGTTAGATTCGATGCAACTCTAAACTAAAGTCATCAAAAAGTGATACATTTAGTCAGCAATAATTATAACTGAAGTACTTTGCGTGCGTAAAACAAAACAAGTGTTGGTTAAGAATTTGGCACTATTTTAGCCCTGATCTGCAGATCAAATGCTGAATTTTAATGTGAGGAATGGTGATACCTTTGGGACAAAACCTGTCCAGAGTGACTTTATCGTCCGAAAAAAAGAGAAACGCTTGGCCACACTTATGCTTTTATATCGTGCTGCTCTTGATCTACAGTTGTCTTTGCTTGAGTAGAATTATATGACACTTAAAAAGCTTTACCAGAAGAACCAGAGTTTATTCATCGGGGTCACAGAACAAGATAAGGGCAAAAAAAATTTGAATTTGTGTAGAAATCTGTCCCTCTATTTTGGATAATGTTTGCCAGCAATCCGCTTTCCAATGCAATAGGACACACTATGAAAAATCACTTTTTTACACTTGCGAGAACTGCGAATACAAGAAACTTAGATTTTGGTGTACAGAGAACCCAGATAGATATATGTATCGTATGAAAGTGGTGTACGGAACTTCATCCAGAAGTACGATAGCAAGCTACTGTAGGTTAATTAATTAATTACGTATATAGTCACTTCATAAAGTTATCATATTTGCAAGTTTACGTTTTTCGATCATTTTCCTCTGATAGATTTGCACTGAAACAGAATTCTAAAAAAAAAACATGCGTGTAGCATCCCATGGCTATTACGTGTACACAGCATTGCATCAAAGATATAAAGCTATGAATGAGTTTTGCCAACACTTAAATTGAATTTTTTCAACCTTGGCAGGACTATAAAGAGAGGCGCCCATCACATTCGGGATTCCTTACTTCAAAGGCGCCCCTGAAATTTTGGATTGGATCTCTGCAACGCCCTTCAAGAATCAAGAAACGAACCTGAGAAATCTCTTCGTCACATTTTTGTGAGATAAATTGATTGGATCAAATTATTCCAACTTGCAGGTGATAGATCAGGCAAGTTGTGGTCAGCTTAAAAAAATTAGTCTTGGTTTTGATCGAGAGATTACTACAAAAGATTTGGTAGAACCTTTACGTGAGCACATCATTTTTTACTTTGGCGGATAGGTTTCATTAGCTTTCGGAACGTCAGTGTGATAATTCTTGTCCGCGACTTTCTAAATGATGAAGGGAATTGACCGATATCGAACAAGGAAGGGGGTATAGAATCACTTAAAAGCCTTTTGTTGATGCATAATAATCAATTTCATGAATTTTTCTGTGAATACAAAACATCTGTGAAAAATTTCCGCGGACTGTAAGCTTGCGCAGGATTATGCATCGTAAAGATTCGGATGAAGTATCAGAAATTTTTCTGCCATCCTTCCGATTCTCAGACCCGTACTGATTGTTTGCTCGTTTGTTTATTTATTATAATATTATTGTTTTATTTTAATATTATTTTGCTAAGAGACAACTACAGTTAAGAATGAACTTGATCCAAATAAGATTCTCATATTCACTGTACGATGCGCATTTCTATTCAGTTAATTCCTACTTTATACTTGACACTAAGATCTTGAAAGCTTTCCTGCTAGCAAAGAAAAAAGAATTTTCCTAGTGTTTATGAACTACCGTAACCAAACTGTGCATCAACAACTTTTTCATTCTCATGAGTAAAACCTGTTTGCTCTCAAGATCGACGTTGGTGGTCTATGAACATATAATCTATGAGTTCATTTCTCTAACAAACAATAAGAGCGACCTCCCTGCGCTTTATCATTATTTATGGCCTGCTATTCTTCTGCAAATAGCGGGTAGTAATTGTTAGAAAATCATTTTGCTGACCTTTTTGTGAATAGTCTGTGAAGGATACTAATGGTGAACGGGAAATGAAACTTAAGCATATAGAAAAGCTTGTGCATATCGACTTTTCTGAAGTAGTAGAAAAAGTTTAGCTGTGTTTTGCGTTACTTTTCCTTCAATTTGTGCATATCTATATATGTTACCTTAAGGCGGTATCCCTTATAATAAAGTCGTTCCCAGTCTTACAATTGCAGCTTTACTTCCAATCGCATAACGAGGTCACTTACCAATGTGGTTATCAATATCTGTTTAGTCTTTATGAAAACCCCACAATTCACATCTATATGTTCGAAAGTAAAGCACCGAGCTGTCGCTTTGATCCAAAAGCTCAAAAATTTCAAGTAAGCTGTTTTGTGATTTTTTAAACGTATTTTCAGTTTATCTTCTAACTGTAGAAACTAAGCCGAGGCTTCCCGCGAACTTTTTTCCCTTTGTTACCCAGAAACTCAAGCAGATTCGTCACAGTTCTTCAAAAGTTGCAGTTTTGTCATGATTGCTCATTTACCAATCACCGTCTGTTTTTCGAAAAGCATGTCGAGCTGTGGAGTTGTATGTCGAACTCCTACTATGATTTTTGGAAGTTTCTTGCACTGATCTGAAATACGAGCTCAGACTGGCTCAGAACCTTAGCCTTGCCTGTCAAACCTTTCACGCATCTGTTTCGTTTAGCGCAGCTTTCCAAAAGCAAATTGTATTAAATGTGTTCATTAGGCAGGACGTTCCATTTCCAGAGATAAACCATCAAACTGTTCATTAATAATCCAGAGAATTCGAATTATATCTCAAATACTTCCCGAACATTCAGACATTTGTTCCATTTGGGTAAATTCTTCGAGAACGCACCTTTTGTACGAAGTTTATTTACCTGCCTCCCATCTTCTTCGAAGAGAAGTATCGGGTTTGAATTTTCAATCCAAAGAATTCGATTCTGTGATTTTTCAAACACTCTCACCCGATCTTATGGTTGTATTCAAGCCTGAACTAGGTTGAAAATTAGTTGATTTTGCTGCTTTTAAAGATTCACACACATATATTAGGTCGTTCCGAAAGTTCTTTCCGTTTTTTCAACCTGTCACGAAAACACGTGGAATGAAGGTAGACGAACGCTTTAGGCACTGTCCGACGCAGCTTTTCTCACTCTTTTTAACTGTAGTAATCCTGTGCTGCTTGCTCTTGTGGTCAGTGAGATAATGGCCGAAATTTCGCACCCACGGTTCTTACCATGTCCAAATTTGGCAATTTTTTACAATCTTCTTTTTTGACTTTTACGAAAGCTTTGATAACAGTCAGATAGGGCAAACAAAGTGCAATTTAATGCAATTTTTTACCGTTTATAGCTAGCCTTAAAAATTTTTTAGATTTATTTTTCTGATGCTATCAAATTCCACTTTTGGGGACGCCAAGAGCCATTGAACATAAGACGGCGCACAACTAAGGTGTCATTCGATGCAGCTTTTCCTTTTCTTGCTAGTGAATGTATTTTCTTTCCAATTTGCGGGGTCTTTGGCGATAAACTTTTCATAATTCTTGATTTTAAACCCTCCCCAGCCTGTACACGTAAAATGCGAAACCTTATATTTACAAGCGGTAAACGCTCAGTTGCTTTGTAAAAATTGTGGATAATCGTAACTGACTTTAAAAAGCTTCAAAATCCGCATACTTGTCAGTGTTCAGGTGTTTCTGTATTTTGGGACTTTGCAAAAGTGAAGACTTTTGGAAAAATTATCTCAAAAAATACTGAAAAGCCAGCTGGATTTGCCAAAAAAATGTATTGCATTGCACTTTGTTTACTCTATTTGACTGCTATTAAAGCTTCTCCGAAAGTTAAAAACGAAGATTGTGAAAAATTGCCAAATTTTGACATGGTAAAACCATGTGTTCAAAATTTCGGCGATTATCTCAGTGCTCACAAGAGTAAGCGACATGGGAATATGACTGCTAGAAAGAGGAAGAAACGCTGCGTCGGATAGTGCCTAAAACGTTCCTTTACCTTCATTCCACGTGTTTTATGATAGGCTAGAAAAACGGAAAGAACTTTCGGAACGACCTAATACATTAACGATTGGCTAATCTCTCTGAATCGTTCACTATAATGACTTCTTAAAGTTATTCCAAGTACTTTGCAGTTATGACAAGTTCTTCAAGAAGTTGCTTTGGTTCAAAATACCATCAATCCGCTCTTCAGAAATGTAGCATCAACTTGTCGTAATTCTGTTATTACTCAGGCACTATGGTGCTTTTGCGGAAGGTGAATTGTTAGATTTGCAGATCTTATAGCATCATTAAAAAATCATTCGTGCTCTCATAGATTCTAGGTAGACTTCAGCATGGCAGCTTTTGTCCAATATTTGACTTTTCTACAAGAATTGAATAAGTGTGAACAAATTGTTCATGAACCCCTTACCGACTCTTACAGTTCCTCAAATTCAACCTCCCATATCTAAATTTGCTTCCATACGATCCAAGAAAGTTTATA